ACATACATACATATACATACACACATTTCTTGCTTCAAACCAAGGTACCGATATCGCAGCTGCAGATTTGAAGCGCCCAGTCTGCCCGCATGCGATGAGTGCCAAACCGCTGGCTCCACCGGCCATCAACGATGGCACACTGCGCTTTGCAGCGTAACCGACAACACCACCAGCTGCAACCTCAGCATATCGTAGCATGTTCGTACCGCGATTCTGTATTGAAGAGATTTGACGAAGTTCGTTTCCCTTTGTCCAAACTGTCCGATTCCGATTTTGATACTTATTCTCTCTGCATATGCGACATGGCCACTTGCATCCAGGCACGATGGCCCCGATTGCCGTATTAGCATCCATGGCCCAGCCGCCCAGCAGAAGACGTCCGTGGTATCTCGAACCAGTGCGCTACAGGAGTGCCCCTCGACAAGTGCCATGCCAAACACTTCACCAACCGGAACACAAAATGGGATCAAGGTGATGGATGAAGGGCGGTTGCGGGAGTGGGTGTGGTTTCCATGCAGACGCCCTGACTCCTCTGCCTATTGCTCTGTGCGACCGATCGGCAGTTGACATGTTGCTGCAGATTGCCAATGCGGCAACGGATATGACGTGGTACACCTGTGGGTGGCTGCCTTGCCGTAAGTCTTGCCAAGCAGCCAGTTGTGGCGGCTATTTGGCATGCATGCGGGCGGAGCACTTGAAAATCCTGCTCTTGGATGCCTGCCGAGGCGATGGAGTTGCTCGCGGACGCAGCCACCCAGCTGGCGCTCGCTCCTACAGCAAGTCGCCGTTCTGCATCGCGGCGGAGCCCCTGTCGGGGCCCTCCGCCCACCCTCCTCCTGCAGCGCCCACGAACCTCGGCTTCCACCTGACTCGGCTCGCCCTGCACTTGCACCGGTCGCTGCACCAGCCGATGGCCGACGCCGCTCGGGTTCCAGCACCTCCAGTTCTGACCCCTCGGCTTTGGACCCTGCTCAGCGTGCGTCACCGCCTGCCGCCCCTGACGCCAACACCTCCAGCACCGTGCGCCAGCGCAATGGTCCCGACGCTCTGCTACGTTTCCGTTCTTCCTTGGCTACCCTTGATCGTTTCTCAGCTGAGGATGTTCTGGCGCAGCCATGTTGTCTGTTCCGTGTGTCACTTCTGCAAAGGCGTCTTGCGTCAGTGAGGGCGGCTTACCTTGAACTTGATCGTGTGTGCGTGTGATTCGTCCGCTGCAGCGGACTGGAGCCGGGCCGTTCTCGCCCCTCACATGTTGCCGTGCCAGGGGAGGCATCCGACTTGAAAAGGCCGTGCTGCTTGCCGAGTGGGCGCCGTTGCTTGACGAAGTCTTACCACAACCGTTGCCGCAAAGCCACCACATTCGTGAGCCTGATGCTGAAGCGTGTGCTCGCCGTGACTCGCAAGCCTGGTTGGCAGACTCGTTAGCCCCACCCACCCACGACACACTCGAAGCACTGTCCAATGCTACACCCCTCCTGACCCCAATGTTGCTACACATGGGATCCTCATGTGCCAGTCGTGCTTAACCCCGCGTTGTACTCCTTGCCAACCTCCGCCGTGTATCCTCGATGATGCCGAGACCTCCCAGGCATTTTCCGATGTCGCCTCCCGTGCCCGCGTCCCTGACGACATCGTGCCAGCCCTTGGACTTGGGCGTGTCGTCGCGCCTTGTTGTCGGCGACTTCCTGCGCCGCCTGGTCGCCCGCACACTGGCACAACTGTTTGCGGCCTCCCTTGCGGAAGCGTGCCTCCCGCAACAATACGCACTCGGCAGCCGCGTCGGGGCGCAGGCTCGTTGTGCAGCTGACCCCCAGCTCACAGTTGTGTCCCTTGATGCCGCTGCTGCATATGACGGCATGAACCGGCACACGGTGTTGCGTTAGCTGACGGATGTTCCCGAGGCGTCGGCGCTCCTGCCGTTCGTGCGCTTGTGGCTGGGTCGCTCGTCCACCTACTGTTGGCAACAAGGCGCGTGCATGCGCGATTTACAGCAGGGCGAAGGAGTTCGAACAGGGTGACCCTTTAAGCCCAGCTTTGTTTAGCTTGGGCTTGCGTGCAGCTCTGCGGGATTTGCAGCCTGATGTCCGACCCGATCTGGGCGAACGTGTCCTTGCGTGTTTGGATGACGTTACTGTTCTGGCCCGTCCGGAACGAGCATTGGATCTCGTCCGGCGGTTTGCACCACCTCGCGTTTCACACCCGCCTCTCCCTGAACTTGTCTAAGACAGCCATTTGGAATGGAGCTGGTGTTCCTCCCGCTGGCCTGCATGCCCTGTCAGCCACCTTTCACATTTGGTTTGGAGATCCGTCGCTCGCCCGTGCCCAGCGTGGACTCGTTTTGCTTGAAGCAGCGTGCACGCCCGGGTTCGTGCACGAAAAGTTGCAGCAAACTCTGGGGCCACTGTCCTCAACCAACTGAGGAACCTGTACGACACACAAGTCGGGTGGTTGTTGTTGTTGCTTTGCTGCGCATGACCGCGGGCGCATGACGCGCTCTGCACGCTTCCCACTGCCAGCACACATGCCTATGCAATTCGTCATGATGACGCTGTGTTAAGTTGCCCTGTCTCATTATCTGCGGGATTACCTGGGCCAGTTCCAGGCCGTTCGCGCTGCGCTGCGCAACGCTGGCGGGGCGCGGGAAGAGCGGAGGCGGACGAGGGCCTGTGCGAAGCGAAGAGCGTCGGCATTCCATGATTTCGGAACCTAGCACCACAAATCTTTGCGGGCCGCCAGCTGCGAGTTCGAGATACGTCGCTGTGCTGTGTCCAAACCCTGGACAAGTCGAAGGGCGAACGGGCGGTCTCGCTTCAGCAGGGCTGGGACGGTGTCGGCCCAAGTGGCCCACGAGGCCGCGGCACGCGCGGCACGCGGCGGTGGTGGTGCCAACTGTCGGCTCTGGGACAGGCGTGGCCCCCCCCCTGCAGCCACGCTAGCCGGACGGCCCAGACTTGGACCGCGTCCTAGACCTGGCGGAGCCGGCGGGACGCAGTCGCTTGCCGACCCGCTGATGGGCAGTAGAGGTAGAAGAAGCCGGTGGATCGTTGTAAGGTGGTCGAGGCTTCGGACCTCTCCAGCTGAGAGGAAAAGCCCGTCAAAAAAAACAACACACGAGCTGTCGGAGGAGCTGCCTCTGCAAACTGCCCCCGACTCGCTGTCCGCCGTTGGTTTTTTGAACCCCTGGCACTACGTGCTCCATGGAAGACTGGAAGACGAGCCACAGCTTGACAGCACTCGTGGCTGGCAGCGTGCCGTGTCTCAGGCCGTCGACGGCTTCTGCCAGCGAAACTTGTTGCGAGAACTGGGTGCCTCCTCCACCTCCTTGCTTGAGTCACAGGCAGGACCGGTCGCGGCCCGCATCTTCACTGCACGGCCCACCTCGCCTGAACTCACCCTGGAATGCCTGATGTTCCGAGCTCTCATGCTGCGTCGGCTCCGCCTGCCACTCCCTCTCACTGCAAAAATGTCGGTGTCGCCAACTTATCATGGGGGCCCCCTCGGGCGAGCGGCTGCCGGAGTTTGCCGGGAGGCGAGCGCTACTGTCTCGATGCATGTCCTTGTGCGTGATCTCAATGTGGTTGATGCCCGCCAGGACGAGAGACGCGTAGAAGTCATCGCGAACGGCTTGCCCTTGTGGGGCGGTGTGCAGCAAGCGCAGCAAGCCGTTGACACCACACTGGTGTCGCCCCTCACCGCTGGCATGCCACGCCGGGACCGTGGCTGCACCGCTGGGGCCTTTTTATGTGTCGCTGAACGTGCGAAAGCTCGGCAATACCCAGGAGCTTGCGTGCGGGCGCCGCTGTCGGCTTGTCGTGCTTGGCCTTGAAGTGGCCCAGACACTTTGAGCCATGCATTGCTCGAGTGTAGTGCGCACGTCGTATCCAGACGAAGATGGCGATCTCAAGTTGGCATGAACCCAGTCCTGTGTCTGCGA